AGAGGTAACTGACTATGTCCGTTTACAGTTGGTTGGTATTATTGTATTGGATGTTATAATGTTGATAGGACCATTGAAACAACGAGGTCGTGGCTATTAATAACGAACTCAGCCCTAAAACATCGGATGATGTCCTGATTGATGGATTCGTCCGTTACAGACACGATCTGCATCCCTGATGAAAGCCGGCCTTCGTTGCCAGTCATATGCACCAGGTATCCAAAGATAAATAGTGATTTGTTGAATAAATGGATGAACCTATTTGTTTTTCAGAGTTTTTCAGTGCATTAGTTTGTCATGGTAGAATACACAAACTTAAAAAGGGACATAGAATTGAAACAAACCCATTCTGTCCCAGCCAGGTGACATGCAAAGTCTGGCTGCGCTACATGATGGCTGGGCGTTGATCCCATATAACCTTCATAGGTAAGCATCACTAGCCAAAAAACATCGGATCATGTCTTGATTGAAGGATTCGTCCGTTACAAATGGAGCCCCCAGTGAGTGCAACACGGACGCCACCATCTCGTAACTGCCAGGACCTGATGACCCGTGGTTTGTTTTTCATTAGTAACTTTGTGGACCCGTGAAGATCCGGGTTGAATAGGTCTTAAGCAACCCCTGTTTGGTGTCTATGCTTGTGGTAAGAGGTGACTAACGGGATCGGGTGGTCAGGCTTGCTAACTTGGTTCATGCATCTCATCGTAATCCAATTGCGTGGATCGATGCTCATGTCAATTACTGGGTTGTCTGGTCCAGACTAGATTATATACAGACCGCTATCATATAGCTGGGTTATTGCTGAGTGAGGCGTTAAACAAAAAACAAACAAGTAACTTTGTGATACCAGCTATTCCTCCCCAACCTTTTGTAATGATCCCCGAGCCAGCGGGTGTACCTGTGATATGTGACAAGTGCACACAGTATATTAATAACAACTTCTTTAATTACTGTAAAGGCGAAGTTTCGGTATAGCTCCTTATACCGTTGTCAAGCAAGACATATCACCGTATTCCATTTGCGTGAATCGATTGTGTCTACTTTGTCATTCGTCAACTTTTAAGTAATGCCTATGAAACAATGTATCTGTGACATGACATTGTGATATCCCTGCTTTAGTTTGGCCACTAATTTTACATGATCACACCTTAGACACGTGTTCACATTTTTCTCACGCTGATATACATGTACTTCTTTCCTGCTTAAATGTGAATTATATTTATATTGTATTGATTTCACAGTATACATTATGTGATATATAATATTTGGGCTAGTTCAGAAGGTATTGAAGTTATGTGATTGTGATTGCGTGTGTTTTGCGTGTATTATTTGTGTTGGCAGTGACTGCTAAGTTTAGGTTAGGTTAGGTTAGGTTAGGTTAGGTTAGGTTAGGTTAGGTTAGGTTAGGTTAGGTTAGGTCAGGTTAGGTTAGGTTAGGTTAGGTAAGGTTAGGTTAGGTTAGGTTAGGTTAGGTTAGGTTTGGAATACATTCAGTAAATAGTACATAAAGATTATTGTACATATAATTGATTCTAATATTTCAGTTTAGTAAGCTGAACACTTTTCAGGCGGTAGGTTATTGAATAATTAAAACATATTAGGTTAACAGTAATCTTAGGCATTGGATTATTTGCCAGGATAAAACACGCAGATCATTTCCTATTTAGAAGCATACATTTGCAAGGACACAAAGTATGTCATCTTGGTCCACCAGTATTGTATCAATAAGGCTAACTGAGCAAATGTACTCTCACGGTCGACGGCATAAACGTCTCGCTGACAAGAGTTCAAAGCCAATCTACCTGGAAGAGTTGTCAGGTAGTTATGAAACATAAAAACGTACAAACAAAGTGTTCCCCCAGTATGGGAGTTTTCAACATATTACATGATAGGATTAATCACGTAAATGATTCTCAAAACTTGACGTGATAGAATCACGGAGTTTATATGGAGCTTGCCTTGACCAGAGCCGTGTCGGTGAGTATTGGATTTCTAAATAGAATATTAGTTTGTGTAATAGTTGTGTAATTACTTTTGATCACTTTTCAGTGCTTTCATGTCCATAGTCATTATTGTTGTATATGGTGACCAATCCTCATAGAAGAACAACGCGACAGTCTTTACACGCGAGCCAGAGAGATTTTGCATTCATGTGGTCCTTAGATTCAGGGGCACGGGATTCGCCGCGCCGCGATTCGCTTTGCAGAGTTGCATCCCTTGGGCACGCCAGAAACCAATGATTGTGGGTTCGAATCCCGGTTCGCCCCGATTATATTTCTAGGTTTGTCAGCACCATACCCGTGCTCGTGGGTTTCACCGAAGTGGTAAACGACCACTTCATCATTTCGGGCTGTCCTCCCACATTAAGCCGACACGCCGTGATATAACTGTAATACTGTTAAAAGCGGCGTTAAACCCAACTCACTCACGCACCCTTAGTTTCAGTGTTATGACTCAACCGAGGTGAATCTTGCAACACTGCGGTCCTTAGTTTCAGTCTATTTTCGCGATACCCATGGGGATCTTGCAACCCTGGGATCCCTTGTTTCAAACACGTGTTCTACCCCCCAATTCGCATATGTGTATACTGATAATCTTTGTCTTAATTTCGCGATCTGTATTAATTCCGCATCTAACACAGCATCCCTGCGGGACAGACAGAGAAAGGATGCAATCGAATTGTTTCCTGGGCAAGCCGTGAACACTTTTAGCACATATTTCATCAATACGTCTCTCAGTGAAGTCTAACGTAGATACCAGATACTTTTTCAATACATTTTACTGTATTTTCTATTCTATGTTCCACAGATTAGGAAATTCACTTTTTAGTCATGGAGTTCTTTTAGAATAGGTGTATAAAAAAAAAACAGCGTCTTCTTTCAACTTCTTTTTCAAATTTATCATCTCTTGTCTCAGGTCTTCTGACTTTCATCCTGTCGTTGTACAAGACAATTCTCAACATCGTCAACTCTGACGATACTTTCGATATTTCATCCTTAATGTATTTTGTCGACCTTTCCAAATTGGATTTGAATTAATGGATTAAAGATTTCCTCCTTATCTCGGTTATGTAGAACGTGTTTTTGATGGCACAGTGAAAACATTGTTTTTACTCACGTTAAATCCAAATACATTTTTGACAGCACATGACTAAGTTTTGCGAAAGAGGAAGATAATCACCACGGACTTGTTCAATGTTAAACTTTCATCTTTAACCATATACAGTATACGTGACATCCGCTAGCATCAGATATGCGAAAATAAGACAATGTTGTGGTTTGCAACTTTCGTTATCAGAGCGAACAAACCAACAACAGCGTCGGTGATCCATGCTCCATTAATGTCAAACCAGCCATGTCCTCACGTCGGGGCTTCTTATATTGAAATTTATCATACAGCTGTTCGCTAGTTTTCTGGTTCTTAGTCAAGAAAAACAGCAACTTGCACGCCTTGTGGCATTTAGTGATGTTCAAATAATACGTATTGTATTACACTCATGTGGTGTTATGGTACTGGTGACATGGTGATGTGGTTCTGTATTCTTGAGGTTGGGGTTTTAATCAGTATGTTAAACTGGTGCATTCATGTTCGATGTTATGGGACAGTGACTTGTGGCCTGTGTGAAATTGCTGTATTGACTTTGTGTAGGTGGGGTCAACCTTACTGCAAGTTGATTTACATACTAAACTTTAACATAGTTGACAAAGTTGTGCTTGACGAACATTAATCAACTTGCAGTGACTGCCAGTTTTCCCGAGCCTAGATTCCCTTTAAATGCGTGCCCAGCTTCATGTACGAGTAGGCCCAGATGCGCAACGTCTACCATGGCGTCTGAAAGACCTTCCACAGCAGGCTGAGCCCCAGATACGCAGCGTCTACCATGGCGTCTGAAAGACCTTCCACAGCAGGCAGAGGTCTAGATACGCAGCGTCTACCATGGCGTCTGAAAGACCTTCCACAGCAGGCAGAGGTCCAGATACGCAGCGTCTACCATAGCGTCTGAAAGACCTTCCACAGCAGGCTGAGCCCCAGATACGCAGCGTCTACCATGGCGTCTGAAAGACCTTCCACAGCAGGCTGAGCTCCAGATACGCAGCGTCTACCATGGCGTCTGAGAGACCTTCTACAGCAGGCAGAGCTCCAGTTGCGCAGCGTCTACCATGGCGTCTGAAAGACCTTCCACAGCAGGCTGAGCTCCAGATACGCAGCGTCTACCATGGCGTCTGAGAGACCTTCTACAGCAGGCAGAGCTCCAGTTGCGCAGCGTCTACCATGGCGTCTGAAAGACCTTCCACAGCAGGCGGAGGTCTAGATACGCAGCGTCTACCATGGCGTCTGAAAGACCTTCCACAGCAGGCTGAGCTCCAGATACGCAGCGTCTACCATGGCGTCTGAAAGACCTTCCACAGCAGGCAGAGGTCTAGATACGCAGCGTCTACCATGGCGTCTGAAAGACCTTCCACAGCAGGCAGAGATCTAGATACGCAGCGTCTACCATGGCGTCTGAAAGACCTTCCACAGCAGGCTGAGCTCCAGATACGCAGCGTCTACCATGGCGTCTGAAAGACTTTCCACAGCAGTCAGAGGTCCAGTTGCGCAGCGTCTACCACGGCGTCTGAAAGACCTTCCACAGCAGGCAGAGATCTAGATACGCAGCGTCTACCATGGCGTCTGAAAGACCTTCCACAGCAGGCAGAGGTCTAGATACGCAGCGTCTACCATGGCGTCTGAAAGACCTTCCACAGCAGGCAGAGGTCCAGATACGCAGCGTCTACCATAGCGTCTGAAAGACCTTCCACAGCAGGCAGATCTCCAGATGATCTGCGTCTACCATGGCGTCTGAAAGACCTTCCACAGCAGGCAGATCTCCAGATGCGCAGCGTCTACCATGGCGTCTGAAAGACCTTCTACAGCAGGCAGATCTCCAGATGCGCAGCGTCTACCATGGCGTCTGAAAGACCTTCTACAGCAGGCAGAGGTCCAGATACGCAGCGTCTACCATGGCGTCTGAAAGACCTTCCACAGCAGGCAGATCTCCAGATGATCTGCGTCTACCATGGCGTCTGAAAGACCTTCCACAGCAGGCAGATCTCCAGATGCGCAGCGTCTACCACTGGCAAATTTATCAAACCTCCCTTATTTATTGAGTACAAACTATAAAGTTCTAAATTGCCAGTCATGAAAAATAACATTAACACCGTCACAAAGCCAATATATAGCTACCACTCTGACTCATAATCATCTCCTCGTTGTCTCAAAATGGCGAGCGTGACAGCAAAGTGGAAGTGAGGAATGTCACTTGGTCTTGGTGCCGAAACAGAACACATGCGTTTTCTACTAGTGTTGAAGACGTTACACTTAGCCCACACGACCATCTAGAGCTGTTTAGAAGACGTTGCATATCAGTTCCAGAAACCCACTTGTCCAGAAACTCCGGGCTGAAGTCGGTCTCGGTCAAGGGTATTTAAACAAACCTGACATAGGAGGAAAAATGAAAAAATATTTTCAAAAAACTCAACATTTGTCCCACTGGCCGCAGTTTCTCCTTTGTTGGAAATTGTTAATCTCATTCATCACACATAATTCAAATATACGATATATAGATATGCGTGATATGAATTGGGGTGTGACGTGCATTTATACCTCATACAGCCCCGCGGTCGTCGACAACGATTTGATTGCATTTCATGAATATTCAAACGTGGAACCATGTGGATGCATGCATATTTTGACTGGGTGTTCCCATGACCCGGTGGCATGATGCTGACAGCTTGCTCTACCGCTAGGTCACATAATCCACCATCCATGTGTGTAACAAGGATTTTGTGAACATGAAATAGGGTGTCATAACAACACTTTCACAAAGACTCACTGTTGGGTCAGTAAGTCATTCAGAATACTTGTTCATCTGGCGATCGCTTGTCAGCCAGGTCATCTGTTCTCTGAACCTGTTGGACCACCCTTTCTGGCTTCTGTGTTTGGGGTCATCGACAAGAGAATTGTCACTCTAAGGGACAATGCCATTTAGAAACTAGTTAGTTTAGATAGTTTAGTTTGTATATACATTCTATACATGGATATTAAATGCGCTCACAGTCTACCCTGTGAGAAGCCACACAAGGAAGCTCAAGCGGAACGTGGGTACAGCATGACCAGGACTGCTGAGTCGTACAGTGGGGTAAGTGAGTCAATCCAAGGTTATTTGTTTCTGAGAATGTTTTATTACTGTGTGATGTACATGTTGTACAGGACACTTGTTTTGAGACTGCTGGCTGTTCATGCGTTGTCACCATGCTTCTCTCGGTATGAATACTCCAAAAGAGGATACTTGACAAGACCAGCTTAGGACGTGAAAACTTGCATCAAGGATAGTGATTATCACTGTCCTCGACGTCCTGTAACAGACTGGGTTTTATTTGTGTCCGTTAAATAGTTGAGTTGTAGTATTGTCGCAACATAGAATTCACGTTTATTAGTAAGAACCTGTCTATCAACGACCCCAACACATCTACACAAGTAACATCTGCATCGACACCTCGGAACACCTACAACCCCGGCACATCTACACTAGTGACATCTGCATCAACACCTCGGAACACCTACAATCCCGGCACATCTACACAAGTAACATCTGCATCGACACCTCGGAACACCTACAACCCCGGCACATCTACACTAGTGACATCTGCATCAACACCTCGGAACACCTACAATCCCGGCACATCTACACTAGTAACATCTGCATCAACACCTCGGAACACCTACAACCCCGGCACATCTACACAAGTAACATCTGCATCAACACCTCGGAACACCTACAACCCCGGCACATCTACACTAGTGACATCTGCATCAACACCTCGGAACACCTACAACCCCGGCACATCTACACAAGTAACATCTGCATCAACACCTCGGAACACCTACAACCCCGGCACATCTACACTAGTGACATCTGCATCAACACCTCGGAACACCTACAACCCCGGCACATCTACACAAGTATCATCTGCATCAACACCTCGGAACACCTACAACCCCGGCACATCTACACAAGTAACATCTGCATCGAAACCTCGAAACAGCTACAACCCCGGCACATCTACTCTAGTGACATCTGCATCGAAACCTCGAAACAGCTACAACCCCGGCACATCTACACAAGTAACATCTGCATCAACACCTCGGAACACCTACAACCCCGGCACATCTACACAAGTAACATCTGCATCAACACCTCGGAACACCTACAACCCCGGCACAGCTACACAAGTAACATCTGCATCAACACCTCGGAACAGCTACAGCCCCGGAACATTAACACTAGTAACATCTACATCGACACCTCGAAACAGCCACCGTTGAACACCGACACCGCGGAACACCCACTTGTCAGTATACAGTTCCTTGGAAGATTACACAAGTAGTAACTAATGCGCGAATATCTTAACAACATTTAACAACTGAACTAAACCAACTCAAACAAGTATTTCCACAGTATAACCGCTATCCTGAGCAACTGGTACAACAGACGATACAGAACATCACCAGGAAATCTCAGAAATCCCCACGTCAACAGTCTGCACCCTTTGAGATCAGTTAGCTACTTCTGGAACAGTTAGCTACAAAATCCAGAGACTCCTAAAGAAACAGGCCAACATTGATGTAGTTTTCAAGAGAAGTCATACCATTCAGAACACAATTAAAGTCACAGGATCCAGCCACAAGCTAGAGCCATCAGGAGCAGTGTACCACATTCCGTGCAATTGTGGACAAGCTTACATAGGAGAAACGGGAAGACACAGTTGGGAAATAAAAGGGTCAGAAATGAAACCCGAAGAAATTGTGGAACACAAGTGAGCGAGCCTGCACGTTTGCTGTTTCATTCATTCTCGGGCTTTGGTCTCAAGGGGTTGTTTGGACAATGAATATGCACGAATTTCACTAAATGTCCTATGCATACACGTGAGCAGAAAGGGAATTCCCTCGACTGCAGTAGTAATATAGGTAGTCCGCTTCGGTGGGCGTTGCTTAATGTTTTACATTCATTGGGAAATTAATGCAAAAACACGTGACCAATTCAGCTAATCATAATGCAGGAATTACAATGAACACAACGAAAATTTATTCAATTATTCCAGCTTGATAATATATCTAATAAAAAGGAAGTTGTTATTCATAATGTTGTACGTTGTCTCAGCTTTATTGTTATTTGCTTGATATTGATCTTTGATGCCGTTTGATGTGATGCAATACAGGTTGACGGTAGGACTGTTTACAGTTATATTATCTAGTACATAAAACTTCAAAGCCTTTGTCTCTCCAACATGCAGATATAATTTCTTCTGCTTGCTCTGTTAATGGCTGGGGATGTTCCTCCAATCCGGGCCAAGTTAAGATTAATGTTGTTCATCTCAACGTGTGCAGTTTAACAGATAAAGTTGACTTAATTAAAGCAGACTAAGGCTCATACGGTGTTATATGTCTGAGTGAATCATGGTAACATTAAGGTATTCTTGACAATGCTATTTCTATCCCAGGCTTCCATGTACATTTCAGGAATGATAGGGAAACTAGTGGCGGATCGGAGACATTGCCATTTATGTCTAGATATGGGTCAAAATCAGATGTAAAAACAGGCATTATTTAAAAGGTTCTTTCTACTGTGATGAGAAACCAAGACACACTGGCAATTAATTGAACAGTCTATTGACAACGCTACTGAAATGAATATAAGTACTATTATTGTAGGTGACTTTTATGTTGATATGAAAAGTGACAACAGACAAAATATAGATCAACTGATATCGACATATGGTTTGAAACATTTAATTAGTGAACCAACTAGGATAACGCTAAACTGAAGTACTCTTCTAGAACTATTATAGGTTTCCATGTACAGATATAGTGCAGAGTTCTGTCGTGCTAGATCCGTTTTGTAGTGACCATTGTTTAATTTTTGTTTACGAAAAAAAAAAGTTTACCTCATGTCTCTGCTAAAAAGGGAACATATATTAATATGAACGTGCGGATTATGAAGAACTTTATAACGACATATCAGACATTAACTGGAATTATATTATTAACGAGAATAATGATGTAGACAAAATAACACTAAAAATAACAGTATTACTGCAGAAAACGTGTAACCGAATAGTAGAACCATTCCGTAAACGTAATCGACAACATAAGATATCAAAGCATGTTTTAGACCATTCAGGAATAAAGTCATAGTATCAGTTCGGAAAGCAACGAAGTCTATTTTTCTAAAATTGATGACAAAATAGACAACCGAAGTAGTAAAACGGGGTGGCGTCTAGTGAAAAACTATTTAAAATGGAACAGTGGGGCTAAGACGTTTCCTACAATAAGTTATAACAGTAATATTAATGACGATAGCAAATCCTTTGCAGATGTAATGAATGAATTTTTCACCGCACGGTCACCGATAGCATTCCCTGACCAAGATCTCCCAAACATCGAATCAATCAACCCAGTACTAGTATATATAAGCGTCCTATATGTAATGTCCTCACATACGATGAAGTGATAGCTATCCTACTGTGGACTCAACAAAAGCTGTTGGACCTGATTGTATTGGTAAGAAGGTATTGAAATCTGTGCCTCACGAGTATGCCACTTAGTATGCTTTTCAATAAGTCTCTTATGCTTCATAGTTTCCTGGAATATACAAAGAAACCTTCGTCATTCCTATTCATAAGAAAAACAGAATTGATCTCAGTAATAATAGACCTGTCGCACTTACGAGCTGTATTTCAAAGGTTTTTAAAAAATGTGTTATCAAACACGTTCTGAATTATTTTAGTGATAACAACACACTTTCAAACTTCGTCTGGTTTAATGCCAGGTAAATTTTCTGTTTATCAGTTAACATACTTGAATGATGGTATCGCCAGTGCGCTAGATCATGGTAAAGAATTTAGAGCTGTAATCTGTGATGTAAGTAAAGCTTTTGATAAAGTATGGCATAAAGGAATGTGGTTAAACTTAAGGCGTAGTGTAACGGGAATGGTTAAAAATGGGTTAACAATTATATACAAACAGCGGAAACAGAAGGTAGTAATCCATGGCTCCCGATCTAATCTAAACCTTATACATGCAGGCATGCGTCAGAGATCAGTGTTAGGACCGCTGTTGTTTTTAGTATTATATATTAATGATGTCAGTGAGGGGATCGAAAGCAGTATGCTTTTTATGCCGATGATTCCTTTTTATATTTTATTGTAAGTGCTCCTAGATAGACTGCCACTGTTTTTAATAATGATCCAAAAATATTTCAAACTGGGCAGATACAGGGCAGGTTGAGATCAGATAGATCAGAGCCAAATATTAGAAAGACTTCACCTGGATGCTTTAAGAACAATTTGCGGGATTCCAAGGGACACTAGTATATGAGGAAACAAAGTTTAAATCTCTCGAGAAAAGACGAAATAATTTTTAAATGATGCTCTACTATATGAGTGTAATGGTGAAGAAGTTAACTCCTGATTATCCTTCTGATCTCGTTCCCCACGCCTTTCCAATAGAAATAATTACTCGCTAAGGAATACTTCCAACTTACAACGTATTAAATGCAGAACTGAAACCTATGCAAAATCATTTATTCCCACTACCACTAACTCATGAAACAATGTATCGTCAGATTTGATCAATGCAGGTTCCATGGGATCTTTTACACGAATTATTTATAATATTGATGATTATGCACAGTATTTTGACTTGGACTACGGATCGATAATATATCAAATCTATCACTCGCGACTGAGACTAGGATGTAGTGACTCAAATGCCAATAGTGCGCCAGACACATCTCCGAGTACCCTTCTTCTTCATGTGGTCCACTGCTCATTATTTCTTCATATGTCCAAAATATTGACAATTACCATTAGATCAAACTCATACTTCTATAACATAGACTATAACCTCAATTTTACACCTTATGGCAATTCCTTAGAAACCGCAAACGTTAACCAAACAATTTTGGCATCTGTTCATTATTATATTAAACAGATTAAAAATTTATCATTTAACATTTTGAATAGCTTATTACTCGCACCTGCCATCATATCCACTGGTACTATCTACAAGTTGTTGCTACCTTGACAGTATTTTCATTGTTGATTGTATGTAATATAAAATATATATGCTTAAACGAAAACAAACAAAAACAAAACAGAAAGGCTGTGACAAAAATCAAACAAACAAAAAATTCAATTGATAGTGTAACATCCGTTCCCACATCATCCACAAACAAACAAACAAACAAAAGGGAAGACAAAATGAACCGTTGTCGCTTCAGCACATTGCCTCTGACACAAACCCTGCCCTTATTTTACAGGACTACCACATTCGTACGACTGCTGCCGCTAGGGACTTTGCACTCATGCCTCCCGTGTTTCTATGTTACAGGTGTGAGGCTGATATAACACTGATTTTACCTGGATAAAGAAACACCATGGCGGATCCTCGACGTCCGTACGTGACCACTGACCAGGTGAAGGACATCATGGTGTCTGTGTATGACTGCCACCCAACAGGAATTACCGAACTGCCCTCGTTTATGGACAGAAACTTCCTCGTGGAGTCGTCAACCTTTGATCGGTGCGTCTTGAAAGTGACCAACCCAGATGAATCCACCTGCGACGCCAAGATAAAGGCTCTGGTAGATCTAACCTTGGTGCTCAAGAACAATGGCTTCGTCTGTCCACTTTATTTGCCCAATAAGCATGGCAATATGTTTACCAAGAGAGGATTTCCTGTACCCTTATTAGGTAAATATGACACAATATTTGTTCAGTCTCTGATTGGAGTATCCAAACAATATATTGGACAAACTGCCTTTCACAATATCAGACCAGGAAACGTTTTTGGTTTCGATTGCATTTTTCAAGCACTATTGGGCACAAAATATTGATTAATGTGTTTGGGATAGAGGGGGCGCAAAATATAAAATGGCTGGCCCATAATATGTTTACTTATTTTCTATCTTTAGATAGCCCCAAAGAAGACTGTTGTGTTCGTCTCCTCACCTACCTACCCGGAGAACCACTAGATAGTTGTCTCCACTTGCATCATAAGGAGACCTACTTTCTGCTCGGGGTGCTGTTAGCGGAACTGCATGACGTATTCGAGGTAGAGATAGCGTGTTCGTATCACCACCACATAGGGTGCTGTTAGTGGAATTCATGACGTATTCCAGGTAGAGATAGTGTGCTAGTATCAGCACCAAATGGGGTGCTGTTAGTGGAATGTATGACGTATTCCAGGAAGAGATAGCGTGCCAGTATCAGTACCACATAGGGTGCTGTTAATGGAATGCATGACGTATTCCAAGTAGAGAAAGCTTGCCAGTATCAGCGCCACATAGGGTGCTGTAAGCGGAACTGCATGACGTATTCCCGGTAGAGATAGCGTGCCAGTATCAGCACCACATAGGGTGCTGTTAGTGGAACTGCATGACGTATTCCAGGTAGAGATAGCGTGCCAGTATCAGCACCACATTGGGTGCTGTTAACGGAACTGCATGACGTATTCCAGTTAGAGATAGCGTGCTAGTATCAGCATCACATTGGGTGCTGTTAGCGGAACTGCATGACGTATTCCCGGTAGAGATAGCGTGCCAGTATCAGCATCACATTGGGTGCTGTTAACGGAACTGCATGACGTATTCCAGGTAGAGATAGCGTGCTAGTATCAGCACCACATAGGGTGCTGTTAATGGAATGCATGGCGTATTCCAGGTAGAGAAAGCGTACCAGTATCAGCGCAACATAGGGTGCTGTTAGTGGAATGCATGACGTATTCCAGGTAGAGATAGCGTGCTAGTATCAGCATCACATTGGGTGCTGTTAGTGGAATGCATGACGTATTCCCGGTAGAGATAGCGTGCTAGTATCAGCACCACATTGGGTGCTGTTAGCGGAACTGCATGACGTATTCCAGGTAGAGATAGCGTACAAGTATCAGTACCACATAGGGTGCTATTAGCGGAACTGCATGACGTATTCCAGGTAGAGATAGCGTGCTAGTATCAGCACCACATTGGGTGCTGTTAGCGGAACTGCATGACGTATTCCAGGTAGAGATAGCGTGCTAGTATCAGCACAACATTGGGTGCTGTTAGCGGAATTGCATGACGTATTCGAGGTAGAGATAGCGTGCTAGTATCAGTACCAAATAGGGTGCTGTTAGCGGAACTGCATGACGTATTCCAGGTAGAGATAGCGTGCTAGTATCAGCACCAAAATTAGGTGCTGTTAGCGGAACTGCATGACGTATTCGAGGTAGAGATAGCGTGCTCGTATCAGCACCACATGGGGTGCTGTTAGTGGAACTGCATGACGTATTCCAGGTAGAGAAAGCGAACCATTATCAGCGCAACATAGGGTGCTGTTAGCGGAACTGCATGACGTATTCCAGGTAGAGATAGCGTGCTAGTATCAGCACCACATGGGGTGCTGTTAGCGGAACTGCATGACGTATTCGAGGTAGAGATAGCGTGCTAGTATCAGCACCAAAATTAGGTGCTGTTAGCGGAACTGCATGACGTATTCGAGGTAGAGATAGCGTGCTCGTATCAGCACCACATGGGGTGCTGTTAGTGAAAGGCATGACGTATTCCAGGTAGAGATAGCGTGCTAGTATCAGCACCACATTGGGTGCTGTTAGCGGAACTGCATGACGTATTCCCGGTAGAGATAGCGTACAAGTATCAGCACCATATTGGGTGATGTTAGCGGAACTGCATGACGTATTCCAGGTAGAGATAGCGTGCTAGTATCAGCACCACATAGGGTGCTGTTAATGGAATGCATGGCGTATTCCAGGTAGAGAAAGCGTACCAGTATCAGCGCAACATAGGGTGCTGTTAGTGGAATGCATGACGTATTCCAGGTAGAGATAGCGTGCTAGTATCAGCATCACATTGGGTGCTGTTAGTGGAATGCATGACGTATTCCCGGTAGAGATAGCGTGCTAGTATCAGCACCACATTGGGTGCTGTTAGCGGAACTGCATGACGTATTCCAGGTAGAGATAGCGTACAAGTATCAGTACCACATAGGGTGCTATTAGCGGAACTGCATGACGTATTCCAGGTAGAGATAGCGTGCTAGTATCAGCACCACATTGGGTGCTGTTAGCGGAACTGCATGACGTATTCCAGGTAGAGATAGCGTGCTAGCATCAGCACCACATTGGGTGCTGTTAGCGGAATTGCATGACGTATTCGAGGTAGAGATAGCGTGCTAGTATCAGTACCAAATAGGGTGCTGTTAGCGGAACTGCATGACGTATTCCCGGTAGAGATAGCGTACAAGTATCAGCACCATATTGGGTGATGTTAGCGGAACTGCATGACGTATTCCAGGTAGAGATAGCGTGCTAGTATCAGCACCACATAGGGTGCTGTTAATGGAATGCATGGCGTATTCCAGGTAGAGAAAGCGTACCAGTATCAGCGCAACATAGGGTGCTGTTAGTGGAATGCATGACGTATTCCAGGTAGAGATAGCGTGCTAGTATCAGCATCACATTGGGTGCTGTTAGTGGAATGCATGACGTATTCCCGGTAGAGATAGCGTGCTAGTATCAGCACCACATTGGGTGCTGTTAGCGGAACTGCATGACGTATTCCAGGTAGAGATAGCGTACAAGTATCAGTACCACATAGGGTGCTATTAGCGGAACTGCATGACGTATTCCAGGTAGAGATAGCGTGCTAGTATCAGCACCACATTGGGTGCTGTTAGCGGAACTGCATGACGTATTCCAGGTAGAGATAGCGTGCTAGTATCAGTACCAAATAGGGTGCTGTTAGCGGAACTGCATGACGTATTCCAGGTAGAGATAGCGTGCTAGTATCAGCACCAAAATTAGGTGCTGTTAGCGGAACTGCATGACGTATTCGAGGTAGAGATAGCGTGCTCGTATCAGCACCACATGGGGTGCTGTTAGTGGAACTGCATGACGTATTCCAGGTAGAGAAAGCGAACCATTATCAGCGCAACATAGGGTGCTGTTAGCGGAACTGCATGACGTATTCCAGGTAGAGATAGCGTGCTAGTATCAGCACCACATGGGGTGCTGTTAGCGGAACTGCATGACGTATTCGAGGTAGAGATAGCGTGCTAGTATCAGCACCAAAATTAGGTACTGTTAGCGGAACTGCATGACGTATTCGAGGTAGAGATAGCGTGCTCGTATCAGCACCACATGGGGTGCTGTTAGTGAAAGGCATGACGTATTCCAGGTAGAGATAGCGTGCTAGTATCAGCACCACATTGGGTGCTGTTAGCGGAACTGCATGACGTATTCCCGGTAGAGATAGCGTACAAGTATCAGCACCATATTGGGTGATGTTAGCGGAACTGCATGACGTATTCCAGGTAGAGATAGCGTGCTAGTATCAGCACCAAAATTAGGTGCTGTTAGCGGAACTGCATGACGTATTCGAGGTAGAGATAGCGTGCTCGTATCAGCACCACATGGGGTGCTGTTAGTGAAAGGCATGACGTATTCCAGGTAGAGATAGCGTGCTAGTATCAGCACCACATTGGGTGCTGTTAGCGGAACTGCATGACGTATTCCCGGTAGAGATAGCGTACAAGTATCAGCACCATATTGGGTGATGTTAGCGGAACTGCATGACGTATTCCCGGTAGAGATAGCGTGCCAGTATCAGTACCACATAGGGTGCTATTAGCGGAACTGCATGACGTATTCCCGGTAGAGATAGCGTGCTAGTATCAGCACCACATAGGGTGCTATTAGCGGAACTGCATGACATATTCCAGGTAGAGATATCCTGCTAGTATCAGCTCCACATAGGGTGCTGTTAGTGGAATGCATGACGTTTTCCAGGTAGAGATAGCGTGCCAGTATCAGCACCACATAGGGTGCTGCTAATGGAACTGCATGACTGGTGTGGTAAGCGAACGTCCATGACGTACCAGTGTAATTAGCGAGCGTCCATGACGTACTGGTGTGATTAGCGAACGTCCATGCCGATGTAGTGAAAACAAAATCAGCTAAGCTTCCCATTTTGTGTGCCACTGTTAGAGAGGTCTCCTTATGTCACTGCACGTCCACCACATATGATTACCTAATGATGGTATTTAAAGTAAATAGTTGATAATATATGTGTGTATCGGGCTTTTGTCTCTCATGTCTAGGATTTCCCAACGGATTGTCTGCAGGTAGAGAAAGACAACAGATGGATTGCAGAAAATGCCGGGTTAATGAAGAACTACCTGCCTTCAACTCAGGTAGGAACATTTCAATGCAGTCTTCTCCACCGTCCACGTGCATATATACCTGCAACGTTTAACTTAACTTTGCACAAACCCAAAATAATCAACCAAAGTCAACACAATAATATAACACACAGGTAACGCCATATTCGCCATTTGATGAACAGCTTCGCCATCATTCCTTATAATATTGATGTGTAAATATAAAAATCGCTTACCCAAAATACATTAGTTTCCTTGTCGGCCATGTTATTTGCCGCGATGATGGTCGAAGTTTTGTAACTGTTCGCATTATCTCGTGAAAAAAATGTGAAATGATGTTTCAGAAGGGTTAACGCCATTTCCGCGGTCATTCCAACATCTATTTAGGCTTTTCGGTCATATTAACTGATTATAAGTGGGTGTAAGGGGCAAAACGGCTGTGAAAATTATATAAATGGACCACTTAACATCAGTGATGACTAGACAAACAGGTAAGCAGGTCTTTTAGCACCCGCCATTCACACCATGTTAGCCACTATGATGTCTTGAATAGCCTGGGGTACGTGGTGGCCCTCTGTACGGATGACATGTCACCAATCAGGCGAAATAAGCACCCTTTGTCGCAGCGATTAGCCTGGGTGAATGGGTGACCGAATTCGGCGGTTTGACTCCTGCAAGTTTCTAACCAAGGGTTTCGGTCCTGCTCCTGATGTAAGATGGATATACACTCCCTGCCCATACTGAAACACATGATACTGGGGTGTCTCCATATGCATGCCCAAGTAACTGTTCGTAATACGCCTCTGTGATATGGGTACCCGGTAGAATAAGATGGTAACTGTAAACTTATGATGTGGAGCCATGAGTATTCACTGGATAAATAGAATCTGGCGCATTATTAATATATTTTATTTATTCAGAGCATCAAGCATGTCATTTAATTATTCTTTAGTAACATTTACGGGAAGAGATTACTTTCAACACAAATGCCAGCACACCCACCAACCCCTAACCCAACCCCAACCCCAACAGAACATCAAATGGTCGACCCCTCAGGAACTGTTGTATTTCTTGTAGGAAGACGATATAAAGGACATTGTGAGCAGCGTTGTTCGGGAGTTTGAAAGCAAAATGTCGGTAAAACAAGGCTTCTTGCAAAAAGGTAAGACGTTTTACTATCAAGTTGTGTCACTACGCTGAACCACATACATTGAACGAATTATGAAATCCAGGATGTAATTAAAATCATGTTATGTAATTAGTCCCGAATGTGCATTTGACCTACATTCGCGTTTTGATGAATGAATTGAAATCAAGGCCAATGTTACCCTGGTAACATGTAGTCACAAGAATATTGACAAACAATTGTGTTCATGTACACAATGTATCACATCAACTGTCAAAAACATTGACAAGTTGGGGACAAGTGATGCTTGAACAAATATTTGTTCAAGCATCCCGCAATGTATGTGGTTCAGCGTAGTGACACAACTTTGTTTATTCATGAGTGACATGAATTGGGTGAGGAATTATACTGATAATATATTTACAGCTACATTGAAATTTTACATATACAGAACCGATTACCTTCTTCATAAAACGACTCACGTGAATATATTATAGGAATTTAGTTACTAGACTTATGCTATTGACAATGTAACTTATGAGTGAGTGCGTTTGGTGCTATATGCCGCTTTGATCAGAATTTCAGTTAATAGTATATCATTTTGTTTGTTTGTTTGTTGTTTAACGCCGCACTCAGCAATATTCCAGCTATATGATGGCGGTCTGTCAATAATCGAGTCTGGACCAGACATTCCAGTGATTGACATCATGAGCATCGATCCACGCAATTGGGATACGATGACATGCATCAACCAAGTCAGCGAGCCTGACCACCCGATCCCGTTCGTCGCCTTTTACGACAAGCACATTCGCCATTTACGGCAAAACTGGGTTGCTGAAGACCTATTCTAACCCGGATCTTCACAGGTCTTCTGGTATATCAAGGTGAGTCCGAAGTGATGCAGGTCTTATACTTTACTACTTTCGTACCCACGAGTACGGCGTCTAAGGCACTGACAAACCCAAACACATAATTAGTGACAACTGTCTTCTCTATTCAGGAGTAGTTCATGGCGATTTCAACATGGGCAACATAATCGTAAAGCCTGAGCTGTGTGGATCCGAAATGTCATTGGCTGATTGCAGAGGTGGAAAGCAGGTACTTGGAATAATAGATTTCAACGAGGTCTGTTACACATACCGAGTAGCAGAGGTCGGGCAGCTAATATACGGCGCGATGCAAAAATCCCAGGCTGGCCAACAGGAAGTACTTCGTATAGGTGGTCACGTGATTTCCGGTTACCTATCCATCCGGGCGCTCAGTTCAAGTGACCTTGACATGTTGTATGACTTTATGCTGGTATACTGCTGTCAGATTGCTGTTCTGGGAGAGCATTCCGTCCTTCAACAGAAGGATGGGAACACGTACATCCAAGGTCTGGTGGATGGAAGTAAAAGATGGCTGAGGATCCTGAAGTCTGTGAGACGAGAGTCGGTGTGTGACGTCTGGAATGAGGTCCTGGGAGATCACGGAGTGAACGGACACCGATGTTGAACTCATCACAGTTTGAAACAATATGTACAGAAGGGGTGAGTGAGTTGGGTTTAACGCCGCTTTTAACAGTATTCCAGTTATATGTAGGAGGAAAGCCCGAAGTGATGCAGGTTTCAGACGTTGACCACTTCGGTGAAACCCACGAGCACGGGTATGGTGCTGACAAACCGAGGAACATGATCGGGGCGAACCGGGATTCGAACCCACAATCATAGGTTTCTGGCGTGCCAAAGGGACGCAACTCTGCACAGCGTATCGTGGTGCCTTAGACGACTGGGCCACCCGTGCCCCCTGTACAGAAGGAATACACGTAGATAGGGGGACACTTATAACCAAGAGACTGTGATGACCGTGGTTGTTAGGTTTGTTTGACACCTTTGGACAATAATATTTCTGTTAACACTCTATATGTGATTCCAATGGTGTGTTAAGCCAATCTAGCAATGGCACTGAGGAGGATGTGTGCCCCATAGTAGAAGAACTTGTTACATGTGGTATAGGATCCAATTTGACTGGGAAACACACGAATAGGCGCAATATCGAGATTGCATCGACCTGCTCAAATCCATGGCATGCTCATAATATTTGCTGCCTTCGCATTTTAGCGAGGCATTGTCGTTGCTCTTCTGTGATAGTATTCAGGGGGAAATTTTCAGTACATGCAATTAATAATTGATCATGAGCAAATAGCGATTTATATGATTCAATGACTATTTTTCCATTGTCTCCTTTTGTGTGACACATCGTCATAGACCAGTAGAGTTGATACAATGGCGGTCTTTCCCGCTGTTTTGGTTTCCAAATTACAGTTTCGACACTTATCAGTTGATGGATATTCACCGTTTCAGATGACTTGTCTGGAAATGGTCTGGTACTTGTTTGTGGACAATATATAACACTTCATATCATTGATATAAGGTGATCAAAATGATAAATACATGGTTAAGAAATATTATCAGACTGAGAACTTTTAGGCCTGTTCACGTCCTGTCCAACATCGTTCTTTTAACAGTTTTCTCTTCTGTCCCGAAGTAAATCGTAGGTGTGGGTTTTTTTCATATCAACTATTGACATTGTCACTATATTCACATTAGGAATGATATGACATCATCTTTATAAACTTTGCAGCATACGAAAGGAGAGGTGTATGGGTCCATAAAGTTTACATCTAGCCGTGCAAAGTAAAGGGCGGATTCAGCATTTCTAAAAGGGAGGGGTCCAAAATATCAAAATCTTCACTCAATTTTACATACATGTGGTTTTCAAATCCGGCATATCGTTCACATATAAATATAAGCATCACATGGTATACATCTGCAATATATTTACAGTTTTTGGACGAACAGAAATCGCAGAATGGTTCATTACTGGAAGTGTAACTGTGTCGCCCAAGTTCCACATCTAAACGGAAATTATTGGATTTAAACTTTATATATATATATATATATTTACGATATATATATTTACGATATATATATATAATTTATATATATATATATATATATATATATATATATAATCAATTTAATGTGAATGTAGATTTGAGATTGAGAATTTGTAGATTTGAACTGAACATTGTAATTAATCCTAAATAAAAACTGGAGCTGAAAGAGATTATCTGATAGTCTTTGTTGTTTTGTTTGTTTGCTGTTTAATGCCGCACTCAGCAATATTCCAGCTATATGACGGCGGTCTGTAAATAATCGAGTCTGGACCAGACAATCCAGTGATTGTCATCATGAGCATCTATCTACGCGATTGGGATACGATGACATGCATCATCAACCATGTCAGTGGGCCTGACCATCCGCTTGAATGCATGCATTGTAGGTACCTACTCTCCCAGTAGCATTAGCACACCACAAACATCTAAGTGTCACACACAAATGGATAATCGCCGTCATATAGCTGGAATATTGCTGAGTGCGGCGTTAAACAACAAACATACAAACACAAATGTATATAACAGTGTGTGAAAGGATGTATCGATAAGTCGGCGACGCCGGATGAGCAAGAGCCATTGGTATGATAAAGGGTGGACCATTCCAAAGCTACTTGTCGCGGCTTGTGTCATGATCAGTGAATGTCCGAGATGCTCAACCCGCCAACAAGACCGACGACTAATTGTCCTCCATGGCCGCAACACAACTCCAGCAACAACAGCAACGACAAACAGGGATGTACGTCTTCACGGACATTTCGTAACAGACTGCATGCGGCCTTTTTGTGAATAAGGTGGCCATATGTGACACTTAAAGTATGAAAGCTCTCGAACACAAAATAATTGGAAATATGAAATACATGTGGGGGTTAATAGGGTTTACACGGTGCGAATATTTGAAATAAACATCTAAACCATTAGTATATTAGTTCAAGTTTCGCAACAACAAAACGTTATTATTAATAAGATCACAAGAATTAGAAAGTTGAACCTTTGTGTGCATGACATCAGCTGAAAGAATATTCAAGGCATCGTAAAAGTTATGCATCTGTTCAACAACATTTGCTAACAAATGAACATAAATGTGTGTCTCTAAAATAAGGTTGAAGTGTCATGTGAACAAATAGAGAATCTCACCCGAGTGTCTTTTGATATCAAATATATCAACACAATTTGATAAAAGTGGAAAAATTCCGAGGGTGAGATCTTATTTATCATCCTTCCAACTTTTTTAATTTGTAGACAGTAATTAGCAGTGTCTTCAGTGTAAGAAGTACTGTTAACAGCTTCAGTAGCAGATCCATTAGTGATGTCATTTGATTGTGACGTCATGGTAACCAGTGACGTCACAATGGTCTGCAAAGCATTGTGATGTAATTTCATTGCAGCGATATCTACAGTGTAGATATCGCTTGATCTAATCCAAGCGATATCTCCTGTCGGAGCCAGTTTTGGATGATAAAATAAATACGTTACTTTCTAATTCACTCTGACAAGTACTATTAACAAACGTCATGATCTTCGTCCGTCTGTTCATTTCGCCGCGCCAGAAGGACGGGCTTCGTATAACCCTACGTCATCGTTCAGTCGACTCTACTTTCTGCAGAGATGTCTTATGACTATGGAAAGGGTTTTGTCGCTTTTCATTATTCAGTAAGGTACCAGTCCAAAAGTTTTATGACGGATACAAAAATATTCTGTGATTTGTCATTAAATACACCCGGTCTTTCCACAAAGTAGGGTTTTATTGCCAGCAACAGTGGTAAGTCCATCTAGTGCAGTGCGTAACATAGAATGGCAGATTTGACCAGTGAAAAACCTACAAATGATTTTCAACACATTATCAATTCACTTCAATCGATAAACGTTCTGAAAAAACAGGAGAATGCGTGACGAATGCGTGACGAAAGGGGCCACTCAACATCGGAATTCAACATTTTCTCACCATATCTTAATTGGTCTCTAATCACGTCATTTAGGGGAATCGATCAACGCTTTGTAAAAACTCGCAATATACATGTATATGATAAAATAATATAGGCTATCCCATCGCTGCAAATTATGTTAGTGTTTGGCCTCGTCGCTGGAGACTATTTAAATAAACAAACGTCAAATTAGGGTTGAAGCGATGTACATTTCACGCAGGTGTCCGCCAGGATTGCCACGTGATGTCAAGGTCATGAGTTAAACCAATCAGGACACGGGGTTTTAAATGCGCATAAATTCGTCCCCTGGAATGGAAGCAGACGTGTCATGTGAAATCTTCTGCGACAAACCGGTGAATATTCCTTTAAACCGAGATGAACACGAGGTAAGACCTGTTATTGGTGTTTATAATTGCGGGCAACAATGAACATTTTTTTTGGTTTGTGATGTGCATTATGAAAACTAATCACGAAGAAACATATTTAAAGAGACATTACGTTTAAGAGGTAATCAGGCATATTGGTGTAAACGAAAACACTGTTGCCAACTCATGTTGCAATGTTTTCAACACACACAAATAGCTTATTTACGCAGTTACTTATTTCACCTACGTAAGAAAAGGTTTTCGGAACAGGAGGGGTTCAGTGTATGTATGTATGTATGTATGTATGTTAGTTAACGCCGCACTCAGCAATATTCCAGCTATATGACGACCGTCTGTAAATAATCGAGTCTGAACCCGATCATCGAACCACGCAATTGGGATACGATGACATTCATCAACCAAGTCAGCGAGCCTGACCACCCGATCCCGCGAGTCGCCTTACAACAAGCAAAGTCGCCATTTACGGCAAGAATGGGTTGCTGAAGACCTATTCTTACCCGATCTTCACGGGTCAGCACTCAACAGCTATTTGAATACGGTTTATTTTCAGACCGTAGTATTGCGGGAATATTGCTTTAGAGCGATGTTAACTAACAAACATAAAAAAAGGGCTGGGAATATCGATGACTTTGTCTTAGGGTTGCTTTCATTTTTTATTTGACATTTAATCATAACACCTCAAACAGAATCGTCTTGCAATGTTTTACTTAGCTCAACCTCTACCCTATGGTAACGAAAACAAAATATGTTGCTTAAAATGTCTGTCTGTATGTCTGTCTGTCTCTACCTCCCTGTCTCTTAGTACAAACATGCAGTGTCTTACGAATACTGACTGAAAAAAGGAAAAGAAAGAAATCACGTTTCTTATATATTCTTTTATTTTGAAATAGAATTCATATTTTAGAAAATCCAAATTTATTACTCAACAATATCTATATTTCAGGCACAACTCTCTATACATATCACATCATAGGTCATTGCTGAACATGAACATATGAACTAGACTACTGACAAAGTTACTAACCCGTGTTGTTGCATGTAGGCACTTATCACCAAGGTCACAAACTGATGGAAGCATTTGTAAAATCCCTTATTCCACAAACGAAGTCATGACGTTAGACTGCACCCTTTCTTATTTACATATCACCCGAGGTGAAGCAGCTATCAAAGTCAATTTATTATCACTTTCCAATTTAAACATAGCTTTAAAATTTAACTCATCATAACTCGACTGACTGGTAAAAATGTTGTCATACATCCGACTGTGACATCAGTAAGCATTACAAAAACGAGAGTTGTTGACAAGACAAGATTCTACCTGCTACCATATTGATCTCATTGACAAGCCTTTTGTTCTACTGCTGGCAAGGTCTGTATGTGAATGAAACACTTCTATGTGTACAAGTGTTCTCGTAACCCAGTAATGCCAGTATACATTGTGTAACAATCCAGCCATTAAATATCCATATTCTGACTAAAGGTATTCTCATTAAAGGTGCAAGATCAGATTTCAAGGTTTTGTGGTCGGTGTTTGTTTGCTGGTTGGCACTGCATACAGTAATATTCCAGCTGTATGTTGCCAGCCTGTCAAAACGCCAGGACAGGCCAGACAAACCAGTGACTGATACCATGAGCAACGTCCCACATTGTTACACTACAATGACAGGAAGTCATCAAATCGCCAGGCTTGACAATCCGACCAGTGTATGTAAAGCATTAGATTGTGGTAGGGGTTGGGACTTTTCTAAATCAGAATCCTGTGGGGGTTTGTTTTACCTCTTTCAACAGTTGTTCAGTTACCTTTTGAGTGTCAGCTTAATGTGGAAGGACAACCTGAGGTGAGGTGAAATGGGGTTTAATGTAGCGTCCAAGATTATTGCACTTATATAGCGACGTGCATGTACATGTGTGTGTTTGTGTGGCTGCTTGTACTAGTCTGGACTGATGCCGATTTATAGTGCTAGCTCACTGAGATACCATGCCGCAGTTTAACCTGAATACCCCAGGGCAATCAGTAACCCTTGGTGGGTTTACCATGAAGCCAAACATACTTTCAGAGAATTTTGTTTTTAGTCAATGTGAAGATGCCATATTTTGGATATGTAGAATAGCATAGGACACAAGAAACAATTGCAAATCTGACCATGCACCTCTAAGAATCTAAAGTATATTTAAAATACATTAGCTGGTATACAGTGATATAGGATTATCATTATTATCTACTCATAAGAATATACATGTCAAGACTTCAGATATCAATAGTGTCATGTTCTCCAACTGGTCAGAGCTAGAGAAATAACACTACACATTTACCTTCATTATAGGCTTATACTTGTAGAAATGCATTCATAAGAAATTGCAACAGTGCTATTCCTTAAGTCCAAGATAAGAGGATATTTATTTTATAGATATAAAATTGCCAATACCAACAATTAAGACATCTGAAAACAAAATAAAATTCATTGATCATCTCAAACAAAATCATAAATATATATTCTTGACAACAGAAAACCAATTCACATGATGTTTCATAATACTGAAGTATAGCACTTATATGAAGTATGTATATAGACACACTCCTGCTGCTGCTTGCTACACCTGGTGCATAGGCCTTTAAGGTCAAAGACAGGCCTGACAGATTAAGTATACATAGGACTGACAGGTACATACATTGTCCCAAAGTTACCTGTAAGCCAATCTGCGCTGGCCTCGCATTCCCCATAATCAGCACTACACCTAGTTCACATGGCTGAATCCTGCTCATAGGGTTCTCATTACCACAAGATCAAAATCAAAAGCTATAATGAACATGAGAGTAAGGTTCCATTTAAATATGGACATTTATTCTGTGGACCTCAGTAAACTGGGCCTGTTAGTTCATGCAGGAGGTGTTGGTTCATGCAGGTGGAGGCAAAATAATGCCGTTCAAATCTGTTCCATATTCAGTAACAGTTGCACATGAGAAAGAACCTTATAAACGTGTAAAAAGACATGGAGACACTTCCTCATCTCAAAATCTGTTTTGGGTAATAAATATTATAGCAACTGCTCTGCTGATATTAATTTAGGCAAGAGCTCTTTTACTTCACAAGCAAACTTCAAGTGACCTCTATATGTTTCTATGTGATACAGACGACCAATGAATGCTCTTTTCAGTATGGTCCAATCACAGCCTACAGGAAACAGGACACCGCCTGTTAGGAGATAGTAACCAAGTCCAGGCCATGAGCTACCACAATAAATGTCAACAAACGTTTGCATATAATTGGGTAGGGTAACCTTTTGATGTCTTAGTTTATTGCTTACTGACTCTCCAAACCAAATTTGTTAACATGGTGGATATCATGATACAAGAGTGAAGATATCATGATTCAAATGCCACAATATGATATACACCCCGATTCAACTTTCATGACATGATATTGTGTTCCAATAATGGAGAGCCAAGTTGGCACAGGCCTCCCAATTCATCAGTTTAATATCAACAGTTTACACATAAAGGCCACTGAAACAAGTGTATCTCTTCAAATGAAGTGGCAGCAGGATCGTGTCTAGTCCAGAGATTCTAAAAGTAGGATCAGGTTTGGGTCTGGTTTCAATATTACTTCATGCATTTTGTATTTTGGAAAGACAATCATTCTGGAAAGACAATCATGCTTGGCATGGGTATGCAAAACATGAGCAAGGGGATTAACTCCCATCATCTTATGCTCTTGTCTCAGTTATTACTCCATTTTCAAACAAAAACTTTTATTTGCATACTGAATTATCTGAATTTCTTCTCTCCTTATGTGCTAAGGAAAACAACAAATCTCTTCAATATTTCACTTCTCATGCCAAAAGTGAAACATGAGAAGTGGTAGTGAATTGTCTGTCTACTCCAGCCATGATCACTACTGAAAAGATGTGTTTCCCTGCTCTATCAATGCATGAAGAATTGCCCCAGACCAAGCTGACTAAAGTAGGTGAGTGCATGAAGGTATGAATGTTAACTACAATAAATATGTACACATACACAAGCAATAAATATCATTTACCAGATCTATATGACTTGAGATATCACAGACATGCTCTAATCCTGATACATGGAGACAGAAATCTCCCTCTAAAAGAGAAATGGAGACAATCTCACTACTTCAGACACTATGCATTGTAAGAATGCTGCTGTGACTCGATGTAGGCAGGAAGGAAAAATGCATCAATTTGCTGGCAGTTCTCGAGTTTGTTGTAAGGGCAAGCTAAATACTGCTGAATCCATTCTAATTTGCATCAGTATACTGTACATAAAACTCCTTAGAAATTATGATATTGGTAGTATATTACTCCGTATTGAGTAAAAGGAATATACATCCATTACCATCAAACAGATGTGTCTCACGTCCAACCATTCTTGACATCCGATCCAAATTTCTGAAGGTTCTGGGTCACAGTGTCATGTGACTTTCCTCAGAGTGCACTGCAAGGGTTTTTGGTCTGACATGTGACGGACACTCACTTCCTGCAAGGCTAAAATCCAGGCCATGGCCGACCAAGTTTCTGCCAGTTGTTCAATACATCTAAAATAGGACCATCATGGTCATCTCAGGACAATCTGTCTGGCTTGATGAAATATTGGTTCAGATGGCGTCACAACTTCATGTTGGTTGTGTAAGACTGATCCAACACATGATTGTCTTTGTTGCATTTTTGTTGTGGAGGCATCTGGTTGGTTGATTGCTGTACTTCGTAAACTTGTGTTTGGTTGGTCGATCATCTCACTTGCTACGTTTACATTTCAAGTACTTTGAGGTACCTGCACAGCAAAGAAGAACATAATTAGAACCAAGGACAGATGCTTCATGTTGGTACCAAGGATGTAACAAATGCCAAGGAGTTTAATACCTGTACTCTATTAGTATCATCCATCAAATACACAAACACGCAAGAAAGAAAGCTTCTACTTCAACTCTACATTGTGACAACATTTCTGTGGTCAATGATTATCTTTGCTTCTCAAGCTCTCACTGCAACCAAATATGTACCATAAAAAATCACTGTGTTATATATTATCCGAATATACAATGTACTGAATATGAAGATTGTAACGAGATAAGATGAAGGAACAGTCCCTGATGCATGATAAACATTGAGTTAGGGGAAATACCTACATTGAGAAAGGCGAAATACCTAATTTGAGAAAGCAAAATGCCTACATTGAGAAAGGGGAAATACCCACATTGACAAGGCAAAATGCCTACATTGAGAAAGGGGAAATACCCACATTGAGAAGGCAAAATGCCTACATCGAGAAAGGGGAAATACCCACATTGAGAAGGCAAAATGATACATCGAGAAAGGGGAAATACCCACATCAAGAAGGCGAAATAACATTGAGAAAGGCCTGCCTACTTCAAGAAGGTAAAATGTTGACATTGAGAATATCATTCCAACTTTGAGAAGGTAAAATACCTACACTGAGAAAGGTTTTATGCATACAATGAGAAAGTAAAACTGCCTACATTAAGATACAAATGAATATCAATGAAATGTAGAAAAAAAAGCATAGTCATGTTAATATTTTAAAATCATATGTGCACAAACTCAAAACAAAAAAGTACATAAAAACATCAAAACTGATATTGTATTCTTTGTAAAGATTTAGTCATGGAAAGCATTTAAAGCACGAAAACATGGACACACTTTCCATGCTATGAAATGGCAGTAGTCATGTCAACTCTCCATGTTTATAACTGTCGCTCATACTCAACCTCGCATCTTGACATGTGAACATAAGGCAAAAAAAATGTTATTAAGTTTCTGGTCCCCTCCTGTGTCATTTTCAATCCCCAGCCTTGGGCTCTTATATTTTCTGGATTCTTAAAGGCAGGCAACACCAACCTGCTTTTGCACAATTACTGCCTTTTGGGTGTGTAAGGTGCAGTTTAGACAGTCTTTTATGAATCTCTGCTGAAAGGGCATTCTAATGCCAGAGGCTACATTTTTCCTCCAGATGTTAATGTCATGCAAATGAGCTTGCCTCCTAACTAAAAAATAAAAAATAAATAAATCTAAAGCTTAGAGCTCTCGTTATTTTAGTCAATATTATTTTTCACCTACTAAGAATGATACTAAAAAATTTAGACAATGCAGAGTCGAGCAGAATGAACAATGATGGTTGTCCAGCAGAGCAGTAAAGCAGCATCTATTCGTATCTGGGAGCACCTGCAACTGGACACTGTATGAGAGGACACTGTAGATCTACAGATGTCATGGTGGACAGCAGGAAAACACTCATCCAATCACTGATCATACATATCACAGTTACACAAAAACATGTTTAAAGGGTATGTTGTGGAAAAAACAGACAAAACTGGACACGGAAGTTAACGTGCATGTTTATTTCACAGGACAAATGGAAAGACATTCATTTATCAACCTTCAGACATTCAGTCATTCTGTGAACTGTGCACTGACTGGACAAAGATTACCATGATATCCTTGACATCGGTGCCTGAATTATTTGGACAAGACAAAGATATACTGGTGGACATGATAGAAAGATAGTCATATCTACAAACACATTGACATGTAATATATGACAAGACACATGCTCCAGGACAAAATGAAAATACAGACATTATTAACATGAACAGTTTGTTGACAAGACATGACATGGACTGAGACACACATCCTGGTCACAGATGGACATCACAGCAGATTCACATCAGCAAGTTGACACCTAGGACAAAGAGAGACCTGATTCAAGACGAGGTCCCCAGAAACGTCTATGGGTTTCACTGCCAGACATTGAGGTGGTAGACATTGCAACACAACAAAATGTTTTGGTCATCTGCAGTACTTTGAAATTAAAAGGACAGTGACGTTCCAACTACTGCCATACATTAACTTAACATTTCTTACATGGCACAGGTCTCATAAGGTTCCCATTTCATTAAGCAGAAATATAAATAATCCAAATATAGCAGTTGACCTTGAATCCAAAATGATCATCATGTAATAATGTAGCATGTATTTTTATCATTTTTTAAAATATTTTCTTAATGGTAATGACTCATGCATTTCCTGGTGTGTTTGTGACAACGTGACCACTTCTATGTCGGCAGTGCCCTCAAGCCACATCTACATCTACACTGCTACATTTCTACCCAGTCACCTGCTCTGGCCAGCACCTCTAGATCCTCTAACTACTGCAAAGCAAAGACTTGTCACTCGACTTGCCGCGGCCACGTGGACGCAACAGCTGAGCTATCACCTTACTTGTTAATTTCGGTGGGTTCACTGATAGAATAGGTTTTGGATGGGTGTTACCACGCCTGGAAAGCAAGCACATGCAAAGAGCTGGTTAAGACTTGGGTACACACAGCGGCTGTCACTTCCACTTGTACATTAGGCAATGTCTTCCCAACTTGAAAATGAAAGAAAATGCTTTTCAACAACTACTTTGGAAGCCATGCCAAATCAGGGGAATGGGCCAGCCATATATTTATTGTATCAAATACTTGCTTCATTTAAAATCTGTACCTCATATGAATGACAATGTCATTGAGATGCTTGAGAAACTATATATTTCCAGGTATTATTTCATGGTAGGTTATGTAACAATTAACATTTCTTTGGTGTAATCAAACTGTGCAATGAAGTTACTTTAATGGGCAAATGGTAAGATTGAAAGTATACAGAAACTGTTCTATCCAAATTGCTCATCTCCATGTTCAATGCTTTCCAAACCTGAAAATATACAAGTCATGGATGCAAGTGAAAGTGACTTCATGTATTGACCATCACCACCCCTTCCAGCATGTTTTCCTCAATTAAGAGACTGGGGCCCTGTTCCACAAAGGGATCTTAGCGCAACATCTATGTTAAAGTTACGATAACCTTAGTGCTACGATAGCTTTGTGGCTGTTGGCCTTGTTGACTTTAGATGACTGTTAGACATGATCCTTTTAGAGGCCTGTTTTCAATGGAGCGGAAGCCCATATTTCTTTCATCTTTGTGTAGGGACATTACAAAACATGTTACTGCCTCCATATTTTTACCTGAAAAAAAATGCTTTAATGAACACCAATGTGTCTCACCTTGCTGTGTGCATAGAGAAAAGATGGTTCAGTTCAGTCATCTTTATGGGATTTAAATGTACTGGGGTGAAATCATTTACTGTAGCTCACCATGGTTTTATCACAGGCGAGCTCTTATTTCAAATGTTACCCTAGGATCAAGCCATTAGTAGAGGCCAGTCTCTTAATAGAGGAATACAGAACTCTATACAGACATTGAGAGAGAGAGAGGTTCTTTATAACATGGAGGAAACGGATGGTACTGAACTCCTGAAAATGGCCTACAACTGATGAATGGTATCAGTTCAATCCAACATGATTGTTTGACATGTAACTGAAACATAAATAACACTGTAACACAAGAATACATGGAATGACACCTCTTTTGAAAGGTGAAAGATGAATGAATATTAATTGGAATAAGAATGAGAAATGACTGAAAGAGGAATATCTGAAGCATAAATCCCTTGGAGATTAGTAGGTACTAAGTCACTAGAGGAGCATGTGATAGCTTTGGTAATCGCAAGGTTCCATACATGAATTCCTGCAAAGATATCGCAATGCACAAGCAGGTCTTCCGTTGGCATGTATCTGACATGAGACACCTTCTGCAATACCCTTTTACTGAGATCCCCTGTGCCCCTGCGCCCATAATACCCTTCTCCCGAGTTTCCGCACTTCCATGCTATTGAGTGCCGATGACCACAGGGTTGGTTTCATACGAGTCATCAAGTGATTACTGTGATACACATGCATATGGTTATCACTATTGTCATCACTTTATATTACTGAAATTGACAACTTTCATCTTTTCTCACCTGTACATTTGTGATTACAGGTGTACCTTTAAATGAGATCTGCACCAGCAAGGCCACATTGCTTGTTTTAATAAGGTGATCAACTTTCCTGTTTACTCACATCTAGTCATGTGACATAATCATATACTGACAGAAGCAAGCAAGGGTAATCTCCCAGAAAGCTGATTGATGTGTTCAGCTGTATACAGAGTTCTAAACAAGTCCACTTTTATTCCAAAATCTTGCATTTCAAAACAAATCTACTTCACTTTCTTACATACTTCTGTTTATTACAGCAAGTGTTTTTCAAAACGGAACTTACAGCGATGAATGAAGTAAATTATTTATTACACAGTACCCATATTTAATGTTAGATAGTGACATATGAATACAATGCTAGAATCCGATGGTTTGACCACACTGTTCCCTTAATGTGTAACTTGAGTAGTTCCAGATCTACAGTGATATACTGGTATCTGGTGAGACCAGTTGGTAGGTAGGTACATCAAATCAAGATCCAGATATATATACCGGTAGATTACTAAACGAGTCCTCTTTCGATTCTGTTCTTATTACAAACATCAATATCATTATCACACAAGCAATAAAAGTTACTATGATGTCAAATGCCAGTTTAATTACCAGCCCCTCAACCCCTTTACCCGAAAGTCAAATCACGGGTCTTTGGTCCTGAAAGCTCAATTAATCATATTCCATATAATAACTAAACTTCACTGAAAACGATTCCAATAATTGTGCCAGTAGATTCAAGGTTTGTGGCACAGATTTTTAAACTGCAGACAACTGAACAAAGGCAAAGAAACCCACACACCAAAATGCTGTCTGCATCCCCGAAGCCCTGCTGACATAAGCTGTTTGTACAACAGTGATTTGTACCCAATAAAAGCCAACTGTAGACCAGAACCAGGACCACCTCAATCCTCCACCCACCACCTCATCCAACACCAGAAGCTCAATGCACTAGAAGATGCAGATGCTAAGTTGATATCAATGGTTTCTTCATTTGTTGTTTAACTCCGTCACTCCAGCAACATTCCAGCTATATGATGTCAGTCTGCTAAATATCGACTCTAGACCAGACAATCCAGTCATTGACATCATGAGGGTTGGTGCACAATAAGTGAGGTGCAATCACGTACAATCTACAAAGTGACTGAGCCTCATCACCAGATCATTCATATTGGGTTACTGGGGTATAATTTTCAGAAGATAGCTGCAGTAACGGTATCTGTGCTGCTCCCTACAAACAACTTTGATATTGACTTGTCGCTACACAGAACTACAGGCTATCCCAAAGTGTTTTGCTGATAGATCCCGATCCAACTCTGCATCACACTTTGTAATACGAGGGGCGTTATAAGACCAAGTCGCAGAATATCTTTTGCACTTTTATTTTTCAATATAAACTCCATTCACTCAAAACACTTATTCCATTTGTCCTTCAAGCTTTTAATACCACTTTTATAGAAATCTGCAGATTGGCTCTCTAACCATGCCTCTGTGGCAGCCTTTATGTCCTTGTCATCCAGGAAACGTCTTCCACGTAGGGCAAATTTCATTTGCCGGAACAGGAAAAAGTTACTGGGGGCTAAGTCTGGGCTCTACAGTTAAATCATCCACCCTACAGCCCAGACTTAGCCCCCAGTGACTATTTCCTGATACTTAGATCGTGCAACAAAATATTTACGTATCACATTGGAAACCAGATCGGTAAAGATTTTGTATCTAAAACTCTGTACGCTCTCAATTATTCCAACCAATAAGCACATAGAATGTTGCATGATCGAGAATATAAGTCCCGGTACACATATTTGAAGGCAATGTGTTAGGAAGTGAATTGTGTTGCAGCTTTTGTGGATTTACGATTCATGTTCATTATGGCAGGGTTGTTAGTGAGACTTGTTCCGATTGGGAAAACAGTATGGAACTGCTCATAAGTCTGTGTAGTGGTACAAGTCAAAATCAAAATCGTTATAGGGAGCTGCACAGAGATGCTATTAACGCAGATAATTCAGCAGAGTGAGTTATTTTACATCACACCAGCAATTTTTCAGCCATTGGGATGCAGTTATCTTGAAATAATTCAATAACCAAAAATACTTTTGAACAAGTTGGAGCCAGTTCCTTCCCTTGAAAGTGGTATAGCTACGAACTGGTTCACTGTCTGCCAACCTGTTTCTTTATGCACAGGAATCAGAATTTGTAGATGTATCATGATATAACATTTATACTAAGTTTTCCTAAAATAATTAGATCCACATCAAGTGCTTTTATGGGTTATCATGGTGTAATATTTATACATCATTTCATATAATTATAGTTTATCAAGTAATACTTATCATCAGGTAAAATGCATATATAAAATATCAGTAGTTTCAGTTATAGCTTTTTAGATAGATGTGCTCCCATTACCTTAGGCTAGCATCTATCTAAAAAGCTATAACTGAAACTATTGATGTTTTATATATCCATTTTACCTGATGATAAACTATAATTATATGAAATGATGTATAAATATTACACCATGATAACCCATAAAAGCACTTGATGTGGATCTAATTATTATAGGAAAACTTAGTATAAATGTTATATCATGATAGATGTTTGGTCATCTTGGAAAAGAATAATGCTTTTATGTTCTTTCCTACTATTCCCTGTTCACATACCGGTATGTGTTGATTGTATCTGGCTGATAATTGAGAGATTATTTGGTCATTTACATGACTGTTTTCCTTACAGCTGATTCTTAAACACTAAGCATGTAAATGTTCCTTAATTGGCTTGATGATGAAGAAAAATTATGATATGACCTTTTCTAGAGGTTTGTACTGCATCCTACTGTGAATACTGCTACTTAACAAGGCAATATACATCTAGTGCCACCATAGCTTTGAAACATATTTGAACTATTTACACAATATGTATATCTATTTCAACAAAAACTTTGAAATATATACAAATTATAATGTTCAGTAGAAACAATATTGTAGATACCGTATTCGACGTAATAAGCGCCCAGAGCGCTCTCAAAATTAGAAATAGGGGGCTCTTATTAGAATATAATTTTGTGAAAAAAAACAGAGTTAAAAGATCGCAAATTTCTAGGTTTATGTACCTGAAATGATACAAAAGAAAAGTCTGTGCGTATTATACACGACAGATATATTTTTCTAAAAATTAATTGCCCATAATTAAGGGTGCATATAACACACGAGTGCGTATTTTACACAAATAAATAAGTCTTGTGTACATTGATCAATGGGAAGAGGTGCTAATTGGGATTGTTCACTAGCCAATATAGTGGCAAATATCACCGCGGGCGCTTATTAGAGCGGGGCGCTTTTTACGTCGAATACGGTAATGTTTTGAAAATTAAGTTGTGTTTAATATTTATGTTGAGTACAAATGTATGCTGAAGCAATTTCTGAGATAAGTAAT